AGACCTTCTTCCATAGTGATCGTTTATTCAAACAAACGTTTATTTATCCCCCCCCCCCACCCCCCGCAAATAATGTTGAAAATAGTTAAAAGAAATATCTTTATATATATCATAAAAATGTTCACCGCAGGAAACCATTTTACTTGTATCCCTCTATTTGTGTACATAATCGTATCGACAATGTCCACCGTACCAATCCCCCCCAATGACGTCATCCAAGGGCTACAACTTGAATACGGTCTTAAATGAAAGGGTCTATAGTATTTAAATAAATTTCCATTTGTTACAATTTCCTTAGGTGACAAGGGGGCATAATTCTGCACAAATGATTGATGGTGTGATCTGCTCTTGGCTACAAATTGAGGTCATCAGTATATTCACGAAGAATCGCATTACTGAACAGGCACAATATAATTTTACAAAGGAAGTATATAGTCGTCACCGTGGCAGGGTACCGAATGATGGCCTATCAAGCAATTGTTACATAATTAGCTATAATACTAGATGTAAAGCTTGCACAAATAATGAAAGAATCCATTACGATTTCATAAAACGTTTGTCATAATTGTGATTAAAGTTGCATGCTCCCTTAAATTTCAGTGATAAGGCAAATCACAGATTGCAAAAGAAATTTTTGTTATGCATTATGTCTATTTTTTGTGTTGGCCTTTTGATCAAAGAAGTGTCAGCATCAGAAGGACCATATCAACTATTTTCTGCCTTTGCGCCTGCCTTTCAGGCAAGTCAACAGGTATAACAATGTGGTGCAGACAAAATCGAAAGAAAGGACTGCAAACGGGTGGTCCAAATGGGGGGGCGTGGTAGTGAAGGACCTACAAAGTGGCATAAACTTTGGCCAACTAACTTAGAACTTAGACATTAGAAGTTAGTTCTTAGAACTTAGACATTAGAACTTAAACATTAGAACTTAGTTATTAGAACTTAGTTATTAGAACTTAGTTCTTAGAACTTAGTTATTAGAGCCTAGTTCTTAGGGCTTCGATATAAGAACTTAGTTATTACAACTTAGTTTATAGAACTTAGTTATTAGAATTTAGTTATTAGAATTTAGACATTAGAACTTAGTTATTAAAATCTTTAAAGAAATCTATTTTGAAAGAGCTAAAAGAAGGAAACATAATTCCGTTCTCATAAATCAAGCTTTTTTTCAAGTTACAGTAAACTGCAAAACATGATGCAAGACACTTATCTCATTTAACAAGAAACAAAAAATATCAAAATCTCGACAAGAACTTGTGGATGGCATACCCCCATGCACACTCGAGAAATAGTTGATATTCCAGGGGTCTATTACAATAAAGATAAATGATATGATTATCCGTAGAAAACAGAAATGCGTATAATCTCACGGATACTATTAGCCAATAAGGTCAAAAAATGCTTAAGTTGTGGTAAATAAACTATATAAACTATTTAAAATTCACAGAGTAAATAGTTAAAGTAGTAACGAGTTGTTACATGTGGATTCAAACTAAAAGCTTGTAATTCTTAAGAAATGTTGAGTTTAATAAAATTCATGGTTAAAGCCTAGACATTAAAAAATGTCTTATCACTAGAATGGTTATGTGTGAATATGAGCCAAATGGTAATGTAATCAAAGCTAATGTTTAAATAATTATAATAAAATGGTTCATATTGTTGAATGTAACATGCAACTCGATCACAATACCTCATGCCAAGGTACCCTTTTCACGGATGATATCTCAGGAAATAAAATTGGAAGCACAGAGCCACCTAGTACTTTTGTAATGGTTGGATTCTTGCGAAATTTACTCGTCGTCATGTCGAAAGAACTTTTCAAAACCTCAAAAATACACACCAGACAAACGATATGAACAAAACTGAAACAGGCAAATCTTATCTACATTGAAAAACGATATCAAAATGAATTATCATATCATGGTTTAAAAACCCTCAAAAACACATCATACAAAGTTCGTAAACCTGTAAATTAAGGATGAAAATATTAACAAAATGAACATTTTAAACATGTGCATTTTTAACAATTTCCCCTTATAAAGAAGAAACTTCTAAATGAGTACGATGGATGCTCTTGTAAGCATGGTTCAGACGAAATAAAACATCAAAATAAAGTGTTGACATAATACTTATTTTTAAATGTTTTGTTTCTTAATCCGTCAGTTATATTCAAAACATGCATGCACATATTCTTGAAAATTTAACCAGTACGATGAACTAAGAACTTGGATATACATTTCTGTTAAATGCCTAATTCGTTTGTAGGTAGTATGACTCTATCAACGCGAGCAAGTTGTTGCTGTTTGATACTTCGAGACATTAAATGCGTCGACTGTATCCGTCGATCGCTAATTACAGAATTCAAATCGCTTTAACTTGTCGTCACGCAAAGTAAGGACATTTCGAGACATATCTTCGCCGACATAAATCGCTGTGATTTGCATTCATTAGTTCATTCGGGATCGATTTGCGGCATCAGCCTCATTACAGAATCTCTAGACGTTGCAACCGGTACTCAGTCTCCAATGTGTGCTACTGCGATCGAAACCTACGCACTCCTCTGGATTATTGCATTAATGGGGTCCCTTACTTCGTCCTTGTGTATGTGTATGTGTTTTGCGTTGGACAAGATTGTTAGCTTTCAGTATTAGTTTAATATCCTTAAAAAAATAATAAATTTTGGCCTCAATGGACTTCCGTAATTTTTTGATAATTTAAGTGAATGAATATCTATTCTTTTACACATTGCCCATATTCAACAATACAGTGTTTAGATCTGTTGTAAAAATATTTGTCCAAGAGAAAATCAATTTTCCATCTTTAACAAAGTTGAACCAGAGGTTCTTTGATAAACTCTCCTACAGAGGAACTTGTGTTTGAATTCTGTTACTTTTCCAGTTTGTGGATGAAAACCATACGTTATTCCTAGTCTGATTCTAGACATCCATGTAAATATAAATGAGATGAACTGGTAGTTTTCTGGTATACATGCATGTGATTGAATGTTTAAGCCCTGGTGATAATGTCAGGTTATTAATAGTCAATCGAACTAGGTTCGATACTAAATATGATTAGTTACAATTCGAAAATCGCCATGTTAATTTCCTTGTATAAATCGTCTCTGTGTTAATTGAGGAATGTTAACATCACTAAACGTAAGCAGTTACCTTGAGTTGAAACTCATTGTTTTCATATGATGTTACAGTGTCAAGTGTTACATATTACATAAAATATGCTGTGTGTTAGAATGCCAAGTGTCTTGTCAAGTGTCATAATTATTCCCGGACAATTATCTGAACCTATCATTATTAATCATCTCTTATCAAGTAATTAGCACAAGAAATCAACCCACCGTTTCGTGTAATCAGAATTGACTCAAAAGAAACGTAAAGAATACACATGCAGTGTACTGTATATATGCAAGAAAAGTCGGCAAAAATCATTTTGCCGTACAATATATGACATAAAATACAGTCATGCAATTACAGACAATCATAATCACAGCTCATAAATAAATTGGGTCATATTCTGTCAATGTATGTAAACGATAAGTCGCGAGGGCGTCTCTCGAAGTCTAATGTCCAAAAACTTGGTATTTTCCTCGCGTGCTTAGGACATGTATTTTATACAATGTTTATATAATTTCAAGAGTGTTTACAGATATTACATTTCCTCAGTCTACTTCATGACTACAATATACCTTTATGATAAATGCGCCTGCCCGGAACACAGGGATGAAAACCGAAACTACATCATCTAAATTTCCGTACCCAATACAGGATGCCGTTTCTCTTTATTCCGGTGTGCCGTTCAGGGGCGTCCATATAAATCAGCTGAAGGTTGCAAATGGATTTGAGCTCACATGAGCTGGCTCAATATGAGCTTTTATTATCGTTGAATGTCTGTCGTGTCTACATTTAGTTCGTTAACACTCTAGTGGTCACACTTTTTCCTCAGTTGTCTCAAATTTGATTAGGATGTCCGAATATGGGTCATCTAGGGTCAAAAACTAGGTCACACAGTTTAAACATGAAAAATCTTTTAAGTTACTGTTTCTGGCCAAACGTCCTGGAAATTTATCAGAAAAGTTTCGATTTTCAAGCAAACGTTGTGTCACCTGGAGTCAAAATGTAGGTCACACATCCGAAATATGGAAAGTCCTTGTTTACACTAGAGGCATGTGTTTCGGTCCATATATCCTGAATTAGTCGGAAATGTTGTTTAGATGATTTCTAGCTCAAGGTCGAGTGTGGTACATTTGGGGTACAATAAATCGGTCACAGAGCCAAAAAAACATAAATGTCCTGGAAATTTGCCAGAAAGATTGTTTTGTAGGCCTCTAGCTTGGCCACAGAGTCAAAAATGTAAAAAAAAATAAGCTTGTAAACACAATAAAAGTAATACTAGTATTTAAAGCCTAAATAACATGGAAATGTGTCAAAAAGATTGGTCATATGTTTTCCATGTCAAGTTTTAATAATGGTCACATACGGTCAAAAAGCTATGTGGCATAGCCCAAATATGGAGAACCTTTGTAAATTACATTCGTATTGTTTCAGATGCAGAATGTTAAAATATCAGTTTATGATAAAGGCATTACATTTGATTTTAATCAATGTTAACAATTTTTTACCATGTCATCAGTTGAGCGATATAAGGGCCATCATCGTCCTCTTGTGATTATTATTGAATAAATTTTGAAATTGTCTATGCATGAGCACAAGAACAGGGTATTGTACTTAATGTATTTCTAACATATTCCTGATTAAATGTATTTCTAACATGTTCCTGATTAAGTGCAATTTATAAGTCTTATTTTTAAAACCCATTCGAAGCAAATACATTTTTAATACTCATCATTTAGATATTTTGTCCAAATTAAAAATGCACGATAACATTGATGAAAACACCAATCCATATGTTGCAGATCACGTATCAGGTATGAACACATGTCGTGTTTTAGTATTATTATTAATTAATTTTATTTTTATCTTTTTCAGTAACTGTCACTATAGGGGAAACATCTTACCAACTGGGGCTATTTGATACTTCTGGATTGGTAAGAAACTCGCGATGTTTTAATTTTAAGATGTATCCAGTTCTTTCTTAAGTTACGTTACTGGTATAGGTTCAAATAATCCGGTTAGTAAGATAGGGACAGCGTTGGACTGTTGGTATGGCGACGTGGGTTCGATTCCCGGACGGTTCACGCCTCTTTCGTTGTGATTGGTCATAAAATCCTGACATCTAAAGACTTTATCCATTGCTTGTGAAAGTGGAAGCAACTTTGACAGGTTAACTGCTTGACAGCATGTCCTAGAACGATGCGGTAGCTTAATTGTGCTCTTTTCTAACATGTAGTTCAGCATATTTTTTAAAGTTCACATACAAAGAAAAACTCGGCGAAAGACATCAATATCACAATATGTATACAGATTTAAGCAAAGAATGGGATAAATGAAGTGTGCTGATTATCATATCCTTACAAACCCAAGTAGGACCTATATAAATGTACATTAGTTTGCGACAGAAGTGTAAACGAATATGTAGTTACGAGTGATAAAATCATTGGGGAGTTAGCGTCCTTTAATCCGGTAGCATTTCCCTTTTCGGACAACTTTTGTCAGCAACATAACATTTGAATTTCTTACATGAATGAGCTCGGGCACTTTGAACAGAAATATATGCGAAGATAGTTAAGAAATATACTTTGAAACAAATTGAAAATCATATTTTTATGCCTTTTTTAGCCGGATTTGAGTTAAAAGCGTTTAAACGCTTTTCATATTGTGTCATTTTTTTACAGTTTGAACAATTATTCTGAAAAAACGAAATGCTCAAATGATCTGAAAATTTTGCATTAAGATTAATGGTCTAAACCTACATCAAATGGTACATTTATCTAGAAAAAATATTTTCAGTCCCATCATGTCAAAAAAACCTTAGCGGAGTCCCTTTAAGGTTTGCGCATTCAAATACGAGTTTAAATTACTGTATATAATATTGTAGGAAAATATTGATCTGACAGTTCTCGAAACATAAAACAATTCAGCTCGACTATTCAAGGAATTGCCAGTCTAACCTATTCAAAGTTGGTCGTCTTAGCGCAGTTATGGCTTTGCATGCATCTTTATATATCAGAAACCACTAAAAGATCTAAGTTATAAATTCTAAAAAGTTTTGCTTGCAAGATAAATATCCTAAATTATTGTAAATATTTAATAGAAACTGCACAAAGGCCTTCGATCATAATTAAAGGTAATCTTTCAAGTATCGTAACTCTAACATGGATTTTGTCGGAATTTTATTACCTTGTAAACTTGTTTTTCTATATCCTCCTTTGTAAATTACATGTCCTACATTTTTTAGTGTATTATTATGCCCCTCCCCCTTCAAAGAAGGGTATATTGCTTTGCATTTGTCTGTCGGTCGGTCCGTAGACCAAATAATTCCGAGTGAAAACTACAGAACGCTTAGGCCAAGTAACTTCAAAATTTGGTACGGTAATTAACCCTCTATGTAAAGAAGGTTTCCAATCAATAACTTAAGTACGCTAAAGCCTAGGAACGTAAAACTTAACATGGTAATTGTTCATGACCAGCAGATGACCCCTATTGATTCTGGGGTAAAGGGGGCAAAGTTGAATGTTACATTGACCTTGTTGGTATAAACGGTTTCCGATTAATAACTAAGTAACGTTAAGGCCTGGGAACTTCAAACATGGTATGGTGATAGTTCATGACCCTATTAATTTTTGGGTCAAGGGGTCAAAGGTCAAGGTCACATTGACCTTGTAGGTGAAAACAGTTTTCAATAAATAACTTGACAACCCATAGGCTTTTGGCCTTCAAACTTCGTAGGTGCATTATTTTTTACCAGTAGATGATCCCTATTGGGTTTGGGGTCAGAGGTCAAAGATCAAGGCCAAATTGACCTTGTAGGAAAAACGGTTTCTGATCAATTACTTGACAAACTATCGGCTGTTGGCCCTCAAACTGTGTAGGTGCATTGGTATTGGCCAGTAGATGACACCTATTGATTTGGGGGTCAGGGGGTCAAGGTCGTATTGAATCTGTATATCAAAACGGTTTTCTATCAATAACTGAACAACCCATTGACCTTTGACCTTCAAGCTTTTACAGATGCATTGCTTTTGGTGAGAAGATTACCTCAATGGATTTTTGGGGTTAAGACCCAGAGGTCAAGGTTATATTTACCTTAAATGTATAAACTCTTTCTGATCAATATCCCAACAATTCATGGGCCCTTTACCTTCAAACTTCACAGGTGCATTGGTCCTGGCCAGTAGATAACCCCTATTAATTTAAGGGTCAAAGGTCGCTGTCATATTGACCTTGTATATAAAGACTGTTAATGTCCAATAACTAAATAACTCAAGTTGCCCTGGTTGATATTTTTTATTAAACTAAAATGCTTTTGGTATACATATTTCAAGGTCTTATGTAATATATCAACTTGGCTGTCAAAAATGAGGCCTACATGATTCATGAATTTATTCATATGTTATTTAATAAGATTTGTGATAGCTTTGTCATAAAAATGCTGCACAAAACCTTTGTGGTCACAATTACCTAGTGACCAGTAGATAACCCTTAATGATGTTTTGGTCACTACGTCAAAAGTTAGTCATAATTACTTGATCACATGACAAATTGGCTGCCGATAGGGGGCATACATGTTTTACAAACACATCTTGTTTTACTATAAACATGAGAATAGCCGTTGCGCAGTCTGGCCTGCAACTCTTGTTTTCTGTTTTGTCTTCAATATAAGAGTAGTCAATGTATCAAAAATTATTTTATCAGCTGCTGTCTTCTGTAAAAATACTTAAGATTTAAAACAGAATAACAATCAGTATAAACATATAGATGTAAATTTGGTGCATGTAAAGATTGTTCAAATTAAGTAGGTAAATTGTCATGTTGAAGTTATATCTGTAATAAAATTTGCATAATTTTCTTAAAGCTGCTGATTTACAAATACTTGCTTTATATTACATGTAACTATTTGTTATTATTTTACATTATTATAACGAAATTACAATGTATAAAGAAATTGTTTTTCACAAAAATGAATTCAATTTGAAATCACTTTGCATTTCACTATAATTGTAGACTAGTGCGAACACCATTTAAGTGTGCGTTGAATTAATTGCTCAAGAAATTGTTTTTATTTTCCAGGACGATTACTGCCGTTTACGTGCCCTAACCTACCCTGGCACACATGTATTCCTTTTATGTTACTCTGTTATTAATCCAGATAGTATGGATGATTTGTTACAGCGATGGGTACCGGAAGTGCAGCATTTTTTGCCTTCCTCCGCTTTTCTCATAGTGGGAACTCAGACAGATCTTCGAGATGATGAAAGTACGCGGCGAGAACTTCAAAAATATAGACAAAAACCAGTAACCCATGAGGAAGGTGCCGAATTAGCTAAGCAAGTTAATGCAGACGGCTATGTAGAATGTAGTTCTTTAACTCAGCAGGGTCTCAATGACGTTTTTGATGAGGCAATTTTGGCCGTTTTGTCTTCAAAAATTAAGAGACGTGCTCCTAGACGAGGACTACGAAAATGTGTAATTTTATGAGCGAAATTCAACTTTGTATATTTATGATCTCCGCCACAGTAATAGTTAAATAAAAAACTAAATACTGTTACAATAGCGTTACAGAATCATAAAGTGCAAATATACAGTGTGTACATATGACATATATAGGGGATATTTTGGAGGAAAAACATACAATAGAAGCCTTTTACTTACACATTATTATGGCATGTTTTTACAGTAAATCTGAAATGTCCGACAGCTGTACAAGTCATATATGTATACATTCCTTTGTTATATTTTTCCAATGTATACAATTATATACATGTACATTATATATCAATTTAGAAAACAGATATTTTTCAAAATTGTCTAATTGAGGTCAATATAAATCAATTTTTTTTAAATACAGAGTTATATTATTTAATAAACACCAACTACTGCGATTTGTCTAACGTAGAAAATGTACAGTGTTCCTGATAGTTAATTTTACTTTAAAATTGAACTACATTTGAATTAGACACTAGAAATTACTTTCTTTGATTGAAAAAGAATTTAACAATTTAGCGAAGTTTACATGTGTTTTTAACTGTATACACATTTTGTCATATACAATTTAAGAGGACAGAAATATGAGCTTTTGCTAAAAGCTACATGTATCAACTTTATCCGTATAAAAGTACAATTTCATTCAAAACATCAAAAGTATGCCATTGTATAGCACCCGACTCACCTGGCACCCCCATGATACATGAGCAAAATTAATGGAAACACATGGAATCTGATATGCAAGAAATACCCTGTCAAATCGTTGTAATAGTTTATGCTTATAAATGTAAGTCTAGTTTGTATTTAGTGATATAAAACCCATATTACTCAGAGCATATCGCTCATAATGTTGTTAACATAGCTTTGCCGTTTATAATTGTTTTTTGTTGTTGTTGTTTTTTTTGTTGTTTTTTTTTTTTTTTTTTTTTTTTTTTTTTTTCTTTTTTGTTGTTTTTTTTTTGTGGCCTATATTCGTGATTCCGTAAATTTCATTATAAATGAAAGTGTACAGGAAAGAAATCTACATAAGTCTTTGACTTCCTTTTCAATCCTGTTTATATAATGTTGTTGTATCATAATTGTATATGTTTGTATTATATGAAATAAATACTGTTTAAACCAAATGAAGTGTATCTTGTTCTTTATTCAATGACAATTACTGCACTATTTTTTCCCTACGCAATGATGTGACGTTATTCCGCAGTTAAACTCATTTTTAAGTAACAACTTAACAACAATGATAAACTTTTTCTGGTAGTCTTCAACCCCTGACAGACACTCCCTCAATCGTATTTTAAGTACCGTAAGAAAGAGAAATTCAAGGGAATTTATGAGTTGATAAATCTAATGTCATCTGTTCTAACGACACTTGATATACTGTCCTTGCAACGAGGAACATTTTCACCGCTTACTTACTTTAAGTAATAAAACAATTTATTCTTTCGATTGTTATTTTATTTCCAGTGTCAAGATGTATTCCAAGTATTTCTCCTCTTTATCCATAAATATATATATATATAAACATGTATGGGCTAATATACATTATATATATCAGAATAAACACTTTAATGTAAGTAGAATAAGGAAGATATTACATCACGTGGGTATCATTGTTTAATTTAACGGTCACTAAATAATAAAAGTATATAATTAAGATACAATTGTTCTGTTTACTGGATGTGTGTAAGACACTTGAAGTTGTTGAAATCACGTCCTGTTTCATATAAAATTAAAGAAAAAAAAATAAACTGAAATAATTTTGTCATATTTATTTTATGATTATTGCTTTTAAACTCGTTTATTGACAATGCCAGGTTTGGTCACTAGTAGCTTTGAGTATATGACATCTAAAGTTGTTGAAAGAAGTGGCAAATGGATGATAATCAGGTAAAACTGAATAACAATGGAGAGATTCTAACTAATTTGGCGAATTTCAGTAAAAGTTAAATTTCAGCTACGTGTTGAATGATCCCTATAAAATATAATTATATTGAGAAAAAGATATCATTAAATGTAATGCCATAATTTCTTCAAAATTTCAACATTAAACATAATGTTATGATATCGTTAAAGTAGCAAGATCCATGTTTATTTTTATAACAATTAGGAAAATGTATCTAAGTAAAATATTGTAAAGTGAACAAAGGAAGCAATTTAGACATTGTATACGGCTAAAATAGACGCTACTGTATCATATTTTTTGCTTGTTTGGTTTTTCTTTTTGTTTTTGTTTTTTGTTTGGGTTTTTTTTTAAATGTGCTATACATGTACATTTATATAATCATAATCACACTACGACGTGATAAAACATCAACATGTCCAGGTGTGATACGCACTTGTGAAAAAAAATTATCTCACTTCTTCGTGTGATATAACATGGCATATTTACTCAGAACCACTTAATATCCTCTATTTACATGTACGCTCATTTTTGGGTAAAACGTTTATGACTATTTACGTTTATAACGACGTCCTGGAAAATGACATTATCGACCATTATTCCAGAACATATATTATAACCCAAGCCGCAGTTTACATGTCTATATAAAATATGTTAGACATCTTTATAATGATTTTATAATACTGTAGAATTACTTTGAGAAAAATAAAAAAAATTCTCCATTATTCGACAGAAGCCATGTATATAGATTATATAACCATTACAATTGTCTACTTAAAGACGTGCAGTATTATAAACATTCTAGATAACCAAGAGTCGCAAGACGAGGATTTTATTACAGACATCTGTTTATAAACTGCAAGAATTGTTAATACGAATTTTGTAATACAGCAAACTTCCGTTATTAGAGAAAAAGAAGAACTGACTTCAATAATTGTCATCTGTCGTTTATATAAGCGTCACATTATCCTATATGAAAAGTGAGTTAAAAACATGAAGTATAACAAGATTGGCTTACCAAATTCCGTCTAGATCAACACTATAAATTTTGTAAAAATAGTTATAAACAGGTTTACAAGTCGAGAGGTAGATTTATCTTTAATAAAATATTTATTGATAATAGCTTAGTAAAGTTCACAGATACGCTCAAAACACTAGGTCGAATAATTCATTTCTGATGTCAGTGTGAAATTACACTAAATGAATATCGCTGGTGTTCACTAACACTCGCTTTGTTTGTTTATTTAGTCGTTAAAATATTTCAAAAATTATCAGTAGACATTTTTAACGCTCAAGCTAGCTTATTTCCTTTTTTTTTTTTTTTTTTGAAGGGTTTAATATCATTCTAATTTTCTCCTTTTATTTGAATGAAGATATCTCTATAAATCTTCGTGTGAGTAAATTTGACTTACATGATCTATCAGGTACAAATGCGCACCTGAGTAGAACCACCAACCTTCTGTTCGCTACCTGGACGGGATTCGAACCCACAGCGGCGACATGGAATGGACTTTACCTCGACGACCTTTATAAAAGGACTCGACAACGAAGGCATCGATTCGTGTATATATAACGCCACAACTTGCAACATAATATACCTTGTTTTAATGATAACAAACATTGATATATCTTTTTTTCTTAAATCTTTTTATTTAAATTAATATGTATATGAACAATGATTTCACGTTTTTTGTAATAGAAAACTCCAGATCTCGTAAAACACGCAGCAGATGTCTTTTTCAGAAACTCTTATTGTGAATTACGAGTACACAATTAATTAATTAAAATAATTAAATAAATAACTCCCATAAATTGATTATTTTAGAATAGTATAATTATCACAAATAAACTTCCGTCAAAGGGAAACAAATTCTTACAAACGTAGGGCATTGTTAAGATAGAAGATTTGCTTCCCTTAAAAATAAATACAATTTAAATGCTTATTGCGGGGAAATAGTGTGACATAGAAATGTAATCAAAATGTGAAGATATGCAAAATCTAGAAAAAGTCCGTCGTAAAGTAACATACCTGAAGTGTATGTTATACACAATAGGTGGGACTGAAAAAGTAATTTATAAGGAAGTATTAAAAATAATAGGATGAGCATTTCGAGTGAGTTGTATTTCCCCTTTTTAAATTTTCTATGTTGTGTAGCAGCTGTAAACTGCAGCATAATTAACCCCCAGTGTTGTCATATTGTTTCTGATCCGTCGGGATGAGTTATTCTAGCATATTTAGTATCGAAGATTGTATTCCGCTCCGCCGCTACAAGTCGACGGGAGGAGTGTTGTACCTTTATCACGGGTGTGGGACCCCATATGGATCTAAAAATTGAGCATCGGGATAAAATATATGTGAATTTCCACTGCTTCAGATGTGAGCTCGATGTGTGAAGGAGAAAGAAGGTCAATCACTGGGTGAGGTTTAAACATTTTAAACATTTATATAATTTTCTAAGCTTTTTTTTAAGAAAATCGAAATGTGAAATAACCCTCCTGGCTTTCCTCCATATTTTCCCATTTTTGTTCGCATTTATATGCAGTCTTCATCGAGATATTCTTTCCGTCGTGGTTCCTGATGTGTCCATAATATGTAAAGCATATGGAGAAAATGTCACAAACGGACTCCAAATACATAGTTTTCACAAAATCACCACGAAACGATACTTAACATGCAAACAAAGCCTTTTTGAAAACATTTATTGAGAATGGGCTAAAAATAAAGGAATTGCTTGTAAAACTTCCAGTCGAGCTTCATATACATATTCGTGTTTATTATCTAAATATTTGTCAGACTGCACATCCACACCGTTGAACAGCGTCCACCGGAATTAGCCCCTCAAAACATGGAAAACGAAAGTAAAAAGGTGTACGTCGAGTTCACCCGTAGTTATGTTTCATCTGATTTCTCCATCATAACTTAATCGATTTTTTCAAAACTAGACATTTTTGTAAAACGAAATATGTCCAGACGGTCTAGAAAACGACCATGCCATGCTATTTCACTATTTTATCCTGTAATTCATTTTAATATTATATTCTTTATAGACCAGATCTTTTGATAATTAGTACGCTTTGTATCCTATCATATTGAAACGTTTGCTTTTATTACAACCATATTATGATTATATTTGAAAATAAAATGTCTCAGTATTAAAGGCCATATTGTCTATTTTTGGTAAAAACAGCCGTCATAGATCTTGAAAAAACATCTTGTTTCTCCTTAATGATATAAATAGCGTACTTTATTACTATCCTTTTATTACCAGAGCTTTTCATAGACTACTCGCACTTTTTCGAGGTTTTATTCATTCTCTTTTGGTAATAAATCTTCTCGTTAATAGGAGACAGAGGTCTCTTATTGCATTGTTTAGTTAAAATAAATTATAATGTGCATCACGACTGTCTGTATATAATATGAAAAAAAGATCAAACTCAAAGATTCTCGAATTCCGTACAGTCTGATAGCATCTGTACATTTTATATGATACTAAAATTTCTAATATAAGATTTTATATTATTGAAAATGTTTGTAGTTTTTAAGTCAAATTCAAAGAGGAAGACTTTAACTCAAAATGTTTTGTAGCTAGTTAGCGACATGCAAATTTTACAAAATACGGCATAAAAAACGTGACAACTAAATTCTTGGTTAAGAACTTCACAAACTATTCAATTGAACTTTCAATCAAGACATGTGTTATGTATATAGTTAGATATTTGATGGGCCAGTCAAAAAATGCTTTTCTTTGTAAAAGTACCTAAAGATTATAATTTGAT